AACTCCTTTAGTTTTTGCTCATCCAGAAAACTCTTTATTTCTCCTTCAATTCTGAGTGCTAATTGCTGGGTAGAGTATTCTTGGTTGGAATTTTTTTTCTTTTCACACTTTAAATATATTGTGCCACTCCCTTCTGGCCTGTAAAGGTCTTATGGTCTTATGGGAGTTCCTATGTAACAAATTATTTCTTTTGCTGGTTTTCAAATTCTCTCTTCTTTAACTTTTGACATTTTAATTATAATATATCTTGTTGGGGTCTCTTTTGGTTCATCTTATTTGGAACACTCTGGGCTTCCCAGATCTGGATGTCTGTTTCTTCAGCTTAGGAAAATTTTCAACCATTATTTCCTCAAATAAGATTTCTGCCTCTTTCCCTTTTCTTTTCCTTCTGGGAGCCCTATGAAGTGAATGTTAGTTCATTTGATACTGTTTTGTAAGTCCCTTAATTTATCTTAATTTTTTTCTCCATTCTTTTAGTTATTGCTTTGATTGTGTTCTATTGCACTTTCAGTTAACTGATCTTTTCTTCTGCTTCATCTAGTCTGTTGCTGAACCTCTCTAGTGAATTTTTTTTTTCAGTTCAAGTATTTTATTTTTCAGCTCTGTGACTTCTGTTTGGTGCTTTCTTCTACTTCTCATCTCTTTGTTGAACTTTTACTGTGTTCACACATTCTTCCCTTTATTTCAGTGAGCAAACTATCTTTATGACTGTTATTTTGAACTCTTTATCTGGTAAATCACTCATCTCTGTTTCATTATTTTCCCCACTTACGTTCTATATTGTTCTTTCATTTAAAACACATTTCTGTTTCTTCATTTTGCTTGATGTGTTGGTTTCTATACAGCCAATGAAAAAAACACCTCGGTCTTAAAGAAGTGGCCTAATATAGGAGATGATGCACGTTGTTCAACTGTGCCCCAGCTCTTGGTTTTCTCTCAACCCTTTATGCTTGTCCAAGTAGCTATTATATTTTTAATAATACCTAGTACTTAAGGATGTGCTAAATCTGTCAGTGTTTCAAAGGGGAGAATCTCAATGCCAAGATCTGGGCTGATTAGAAGCCAGACCCTTAGGCCGCAGCTCTTAGTACTATGCAAATATATAGTCCTATGGGACTGTAAGCATAAACCCCACTGGCAAAAAGAGCCAGGCAATCTGGAGGTGTCCCTTGGGCAGGAGAAACAAAACTGAGGATCCAGACAAGTGTATAAGCTCTCCTCTGTGAGATACTGGTGAGCTGGGGCAAGGGAGGCAGGGAGTGCCAAGATGGCATCTACAACTCACATTCCTTGAGAGTAACTTGGTGGGCCACTAGATGAGTACCAAACTTAAAATTTGACCCTGAGGCTGAAGCAAAGAAGCAAAGAAACTGTCTATTCAGACTCTCTGCCCATTTTTAATTGATTTTTTAAAAAGTTTTAATTAAAATTCGTTAGCTAACATACAGTATATTAATTTCAGTGTACAATTTGGTTATTAAACACTTCCATACAATACCCTGTGTTCATTCCAATAAATGCTCTCCTTAATCCCCATCACCTATTTAATCCATCCTCTCACCCACCTCCACACTGATAACCATCAGTTTGTTCTCTATAGTTAAGAGTCCATTTCCTGGTTTGCCTCTTTTCTCCCCAATGCTTGTTTTATTTCTTAAATTCCACAGATGAGTGTAATCATATGGTATCTTTCTCTTCTTTTGCTTGGCATACTCTCTAGCTCCGTCCACATCATTGCAAACTGCAGGATGTCATTATTTTTTATGGTTGAGTAATATTCCACTGTTTATATACATACAGTGGAATATATATATATACACACACACATATGTGTATATGTATGTATATATACACACACACATATATACACACATATATACATATACACATATATGTATATATATACATATACATGTATTTAAATATATATGTACTGTAAATATATATAAATATATATATGTAAATACATATATAAATATATATGTATTTAAGTAAATTTAAAAAAGGTCTTTTTTTGGGTAATTTAGTTCTTGATATAGCTGAAATATTATTTAGATAAACAACACAGAAAGCATTTGAAATCCTTTAGCGTTTTGAGCAAATTAAAAATATTTTTAAAGCTTTTTCTTTCCATCTTGATTCTCCTAGACTACATCAAAGTGCCTCAACTCTGGGCCTCTAGTTCTCAAATCGAAAGGACATCACAGTGTATGTAAAATACCATCCCTGATTGTGTGTAGTAAAAAAATTACTAGCTGTCTGTGACAGTCACTCATATATTTTGCAGCAGGCATTTTGATTTCCGCTCTATGCTGAATTTCGTAATCTTAATATAAATAGGGATGTTGCTTAGCCTCAGAAGATGAATGATCATCACAGATTATGGGAATTAATTCTGGATTAATATGATCAAATTATTGTGGTTTTCAGCATATCACTTAGATATTTGAAACTTTAACTTCATATACAATGATAACATGCTTCATTCTGTGTTGCTTAGTTGTAGAAAAAAATGCCTGAGGTAGATTAATACCAAATGTTGGATTTTTTCCCCCCATCCCTTCCTTGGTCACTGTTCATTATTAACTGAGCAATTAAGTTTATGGGCTATATTTAGTTATAAATAACAGCCATCCTCTATAAAACTTGAGAGTATATGGAATTTAAAGCCTGTTATTTTATGAAATAAAAATGATAAATCAAGAGGAAATGTTCAACATTTTACTTATATAGCATGGGACTATCACCTTGGTTGAGTTAGATACACTGTTCATGAACATGTTTGTTACTACCCCAAGTAATGCATCTCAAGGCAAGAGAAAATGCCAAATTCTTTGGTACTGATAACATTTCAGAGCAACTAGAATCCACATAGTGCAGAATGATGATTAAAACAGTGACCACCGGGGCACCTGGGTGGCTCAGTGGGTTAAAGCCTCTGCCTTCGGCTCAGGTCATGATCCCAGGGTATTGGGATCGAGCCCCGCATCAGGCTCTCTGCTCAGTGGGGAGCCTGCTTCCTCCTCTCTCTCTCTGCCTGCCTCTCTGCCTGCTTGTGATCTCTCTCTGTCAAATAAATAAACAAAATCTTTAAAAAAAAAAAAAAAAAAAAAAAAAATAAAACAGTGACCACCAATTTGTCAGAAAACTCCCACTGACTTTGAATAGAAGCCAACTATTTTCTAGAGGCATGTGATTATACTAAGGCAAAAATGAAACTGAGTTTTGCTAAATAGTAAACCATCAACATCAAAACTTACACAACAGGTATCTGGTGTTGACAGTTTTGAGTCAATCCAGACAGCAGTGTGGTGATGGCACTCTTAGGACATATAGCTTTACCAATATTTTTGATAACACAGAAGATGGTACTAGGTAGAGGCACATGGGTATCAACAACTCCTGAGTTGGAAAGTGTTTCAGAAGAGTTTGATTCTGAAAGAAAGCATTGTGCCATATTTTATTGGTAGTTTTTTTTTCTTGAAAATTTTACCATGAAATAATGGTAACTTAATAATCAATGGCACTTAGGTGAAATACAGTATTAAACATTCACTCAATGACAGACACATAGTATCTTCTGAAAGCTCTGCAAGTAAATCAGTCAATGCTAAACCATGGCTATATCTTTAGTTTTTCCTTGGAAAGAACCTTAAAAGGAAAAAAAGCACAACAAAACAATACAAAACACAGAAATAAACTAATTGAAGGTTGTAGGCAAGCCATATCAAGTATTTTTATATTGACATGTTAATTTATAAATCAAAGTACCACAGACTAGTTCTTATTTCAGTTTACTCATGTTAAAACACAAAACTAACAAACAGTTTCTCTAATTATTATTATTATACTTTGACATAAAGACATTTCACATGCATGCTTACAGCAAAATAGGGACACATAATTTGAGATTCCAGCCAATTTTTAGTTTCTTGGAGCTGTTTATCATCTGTAATTCTCTTCTTTAGGCTCCTTCCTGCTGCCTACCTTTGGTCAATTATTACTTCTCAGTACCATCACCAGTACAAGGACAAAAAATATGAAATAGAGAGTAAAATCAGTCCATCTGGTAATTTAACAGTTCTAGTAAAGGGATTAATAAAAAGATATAAGTAATGTCCAAAATGAACTTACATGATTATTAATGAATCCCAATTATTCCTACCACCTTCCCCACACAGATATTTGAGTTTTGTACACGTATATGCTTTTGTATGGATGGAACTTTAGGGAAAAATTTTGAGATATAGAAACACACGCCTGGGTGGCTCAGTCATTAAGTCTCTGCCTTCTGGCTCAGGTCATGATCCCAGGATCCTGGGATACAACCACGGCCTGGCTCAGTGGGAAAGCTGCTTCTCCCTCTCCCACTTCCCATGCTTGTGTTTTGCCTCTTGCTGTCTCTCTCCCTCTCAAATAAATAAAATATTAAAAAAAAAAGATACAGAAACACATATCCACATCTATAAGGTAAAATAACACATATACACTTTTAGTTTCATTTCGGTAAGAGCAATAAATGAGACAGATTTTCATCATCAATTTCAAAGCTGTTTGCATCTAATTATTTATTAATTACATAATCACAATATTTTAGTTGATTTTATCTGAATTTGTGAGCGATGGGTTTCTTTCCAAAAAAGTACTTCTACAGTATTCTTATAGTGCTCTGAAGATCCTATAGTATGCCACTTTTATCAGTTCATCAGAATAGGACTACTACGCTCAAAGACAGAAATGCCAATAAACACTTAGAACTGTACTGAAACCAAAGCCCAAAAGGAAGATGGAAAAACTCTAAAGGTATGTTTAGAAAATTACTTGAAACTACTATAGTACTATATGAGCACAGCTATGCTCCACAAATCCACCTTTAATAAAAAAGAAAATTAAAATAGTGCTAAACATAAAAAAATCCCCTTTCTGAGCTTACAGCCTTGAAAATATTCTTTTATCAAAAATGGAGAATTCATATTTTTGTGTTATTAATATATTACAGTAATTTTTAATATAATTTGCATTGATTCACTTCAATGAAAAAACAAAAGTCTACAGAAAACTCTTCTATTTGTAGTCTTGCTTAATCAAGAATGCCAAGTTGTAGGACATTTAAGATGTCTCTAAATCAGACTGCTTTTTTGTATTTAAAGTAATTTCTAGAAAAATTTGCTCCCTATAAGTTATCATGTCTTCTACATCTTTGTAGACAAGCATTTCTTCAATGGACAACAGTTTATAGTTATTCAGGCTGAATGCTGATTTGTTCTGTATAGCATTTAACATTTTTAGGGATATTGTAACTGAATCACTTAAAGAAGAACAAACTGGGAAAATACGAGCATTCCACAAACTCAAACATGTCTTGTTTCCAGAGAACAGTTCCTCTGTAACTTTCAGATTCCAAATATCTAAGCATGACAGGAAACAGACTCCAAAGAATTGAAGTAACTTTATATCTGACAATGTTTTAACATTCTTTTTCAAGTTGTCTTGCACTCCAAATGCCATAGTTGAATACTTTAAGTGTCCATTCATCTTCAAGCTTAAGGAACACACAAAAGAATATGCAGGCAGAACAGCTGCTGTTATGATATGACAACCACTAATAATGCAGTTTTCCCCAACTGAAACATCAGGCCCCAATCTGGAATACTCCACAACTGAGCCAGTTGCCACAGAACATCTTGAATCCAGTATACTTTGAATGATACAGGATGTATTACCAGAACTTTCCGGTATTGCAGAAAAGGTGCTAAAAGCTATGGACTCTAAGCCAAGTTCTGACTTCAAACTGCTATCTGAAGTAAAATGAAACAAGTATTCTTCAGTTGTTCCGATGTGATAAAATTTGGAGTTATTAAGAACAATAACATTTAATGAGGTTCCTTTAAGAAGATGAAATATTCTCTGCCTAGTATCTATCAACTCTGCTTCTTCTTTAGTGACATTTGCTGTGTTTCTGGTGTACTCCACAGTTGCTCCAGATCCCAAAGCTTGCAGAAAGTCTCCATAGGCATCTATTTCACAGTTCAATGTGCCTATTTTCTCATAAAAAGCAAGTAACTTTTTTGCTGATTTATGATCCATATAAAACAAGCTGTCCGTGTAGACATACTCAGAGTCTAACTTAAGAGAGGGAGTATCACCCCTAGCAAAGTCCTGTTGAGAAATATTTCCCGGTCTACATACAGCATCAAATTGATGCATCTTTTCTATGCTGGGCTTATGAAGGAAACGATGGCAAGACCTGTATTCAAGGTCTCTATATTCTAATTTATCAAAAGGTTCTAAGACAAATACTCCATGTGTGGTTCCAACAGTCAAACTAGAAGGATGAGCTAAAGCAGTAAAGCCAGGTTTGTCAAATCTAATAAACTCACATTCTCCGATACTATAAAGTTCAATATCATCTGCACAGGTAACCAGAATCCCAGGATTCATATGTGAGGGGAAATCAATGTACATGGCTAGTTTTAATTCCAACATCTGATAAATGGGGTTACCAAAAGGTAATGCAGTGAAAATTTTGCCCAGGGCACTTGCATTTGGAAGGCGTTGGCTGTAACCACCTATATAAAAATAACAAAATAACTATTTTAAAATGTTTATAAGTCTCTTAAGATTTTAGAAACCCAGGGGGATCAGTTATAACCCAAATATCTCTAAAAAATATTTAATATATATAATATAGTACGGTAGCTCAGGAAAGAATAGCAAATTCCAGGTTACAAATTCAAGACCAATTCTCCTGTAGTGATTTGATACAATGCAATGTGAGATTAGGAAAGAATTCTATTATATTATATTTTAGAGGATTTGAATTGTTTTGAATCAATTGTGCAACTAGTAAAGAGAACCATGGGCTAAAAAATGATCTTATATCCATATTTTAAATGATAAATTAAAATTACAACAACGTTTGAACTCCTATATTAAGAATCCACTTCATAGAGGGGGAAAAGTCACAAAAAACTAAAATGCCAATTCTAAAATAAAATTGTTAAACAGTAATTTCCAGATGCAGTGTTCTTCCTCAAATTATTACATACATTTTAAGGAAGTAAAGGTACATTTACTTAAAAGCATTTAAAATTTATACTTGTTTTTAATTTAAACAGGCTTTTTTAATCTGAGTCTTATGACTTTAATTCCTTGAAAAGCATGTTAAGTACATTAAATACCTTACACCATTTTTATGTAACTAATTATATTGAGGAGCCGCATTAGATAGTAGAAAGAGACAAAAACAGGTTCAAACTCTGGTTCACCAATTTTTAGTTGTTCCATCTTTGGATTTACTCCAAATCAGCAAATGTAGAATACCTGCTTTATTGTGTTTTATGTAAAACACTTGGCACATGATATGTTGTTTAACAAATGAGAGCTAATACTTTCTACTTTTCTCCTTTTCCAAAGACTAGCCAATACTTAAGTTTAGCATTGTAAGATTAACCTTTTTCCAACTATGTATTTTATAGTGTCTAACTTAGATTTTACTAAGTTGGTAATAAATAATATTGGTTCTGGAATAAGCTATAAAGTTGAATTTTTCTACTTTTTTAGAGTTAGTCTTAAAATCAGAACTAGGATGCTTTATTTGATACCATCCTTACAAAGAATCATTGTTCTGTATATGAATCATAAGAAATAAAGTGCTTTGAAAGACATGTAGATGAGTGGCTCTAAAATACCTGTCCCTGAACTGGTGCCAGTCTATAATAACATTTTCATCAGCTCCAGTACATAAAGAAAAGTAACAGAGGTTTGCATATAACCCGAGTTTTCATACAACTAAGTTTATTGAATTAAGAAAACTATTCTCCTGAGATTATTTCTTTCCCACTTTCCTGTGATAAAATGTCCTCTTTTGTGTGTGATTTTCCCTCTTACATACTTTCTTGTCCTCTCCATGTTTTGTCACCATCTTTTCTTTTGTTTTCAAACTCTTTTAAGGATAGTAGACTTTTGCCACCAATAATCAGATACAAATTTATGGTAGAAGGTTTTGGCAAAAGTCTGGTAATCACAGTGCTAAGCCAGCCTTTTCCCTACAATAATAATCCCTTTTAAAGCATTATCAAGAAATGTTCACATTTTGATGAGTTATATTTTAGGAAAATAATTTTCTATATACATACCGAAAACAATATCCATGAAAAGCTGATGATGTATGTGATCTATAAAGATACATTTGTGAAAAAAATTATGTTGCTTACAACTTTAAAATGTCTAGAAAAACATGAAATATGTTTTCAAAGCACAGTAACTTCAGAGAAAAAAAATTTTTAAAAAGGAGAAGTATTTGCAAGGTAGAAGAAAGTCCCTAAAATATCAAAGGTAAAATGTCAATTAGTGAAAAAGAAAATGTGTAACTTTACCAGAATGAATTAATAGGATGGTAAAAGAATTCCATTTATTGCCATATATCTTTTCCAAACATCGAAGGGCACAAAGTGTGGATCCTCCATTTCCTTAAAAATAAAAGTTAAAAAATGTAATTAATTTCATAGAAACTTACTGAAAATTTGTAATTATGGTAAAAAGTTAGGTGTTTTAAGTTTGAGGATAGGGCCTTTGGCTAACAATTAACTAGCTGGAGAGCAAAGGTATGGGCAAAAGAGTCACACTGAACACACATTTCACAGTATTTAAATAGATAAATAATTAGCAATGAAATCCAGAGATTAGCACTTGATAATAACTGATGAGCACTGAAATCTCCTGAAAATAAGGAAGTAATATATTAGACAAACTGCAACACAAAAAGTAAGTATACATGTTCATTTGAAATTACAAACTAAAAAACCTATTAAAATAGTTCTCCCACATGACAAAACCAAATATTTGAGTTAGATTTCCTTTCTAAAAAGTTTCTTAGAACCTGGTGTTCTAAAAAATATCTTAAATATAACTACACTTACTAGTTACCTTGGGCAAGTTATTTAACTCTCTCTGCCTCAAATTCTCATCTATATGATAGGAACCATAAAAGTACTGACTACACCATTATGAGGATTAACACAGGTTAAATAGAACAACGCCAATGTCAGATATAGATACCCTGTGTGGTATCAAGAGGCTTCAGCTTTGAGTATCACAAAGAAAATGGCCCCCAGAAAAAGAGCAAGTATTTTTATTTGCAGTGGAAGGTCAAAGGCAAGGTTGACTTAAACTGGGTTTTTAAAGTAAGTATCTGTGATACTTGGGCCATTAGACTGTGCTCTTTTACTCTTTTACTTTCTGCATCATGGTTCCAAGAGGCTAAGTATGTGTGTGTGTTTATTTTTTCCCCTGATTTGCAATCTTCATGTAAGAGTACCGATTTTAACTCCAGCAGGATCAACAAAAACATGATATTGAACTCCAAGGGGTAGCTCCTTTTTTTTCAGCTTTTCTGAGAGCTGTTGCTTATAAGCAAGCTCCTGTTTTTCATCAGCTGCTGTTATTGCAACAATGTCCCAGAATTCTCCAGCTGTCACAGGTTTGCCTATGTGGAAAACACAAGGGAATAAGTATCAGAAATCTCTAGCTGTTATAGGTTACCTCTTTGGAAAGAAAAAAAAAAGATTATCTTCATAAACCTATTTTCTCAGAATTAGAGAAAAATTAGTGGCTAGGTAGGATAATTCAAACTAGTTCTATTGAAGATTGTTCACAAATTTTTATTTTTTTCTCTTAGATTACTTGCTCCTTTTATAGTTTATAGTTCACTTATTTAATATTCTGAAAGTTGTTAGGTTTCTTTTTTTTTTTAAAAGATTTTATTTATTTATTTGACAGATAGAGATCACAAGTAGGCAGAGAGAGAGAGCGGAGGAAACAGGCTCCATGCCAAGCAAAGAGCCTGATGTGGGGCTTGATCCCAGGACTCTGGGATCATGCCCCAGCCGAAGGCATAGGCTTTAACCCACTGAGCCACTCAGGCACCCCAGTTGTCAGGTTTCTTAAGAGAAGTACTTTCGCTTTCCTAAAATTTACTTCGATTCTTAAATAACAAGAGACAAAAAGAATAAATGAATCTCCAGCTGTGAAAATCAATTTTCATATATCAGGACCGTTTATTGGTTAAGTACAATTCATCCCAAAGATCCACTCCTCCAATGTCGCTATTTATAAATTTAGGTCCTTTATTGTTTATGACCTTAAGTTGAGCCATGCAAGTTTACAAAGATTTTAAGTATGACCTAAAATTCTGGATAACAGAAAAGTTCCCAACTCCCTAATGAACTCATTAAAAAAAAGACTGAATTTTTGGTAGACAGTTGGAAGCTCTTCTTTATTGGTACACAAGATGATAAGGATTCTTATTAGTTAACAGACAGGATTTGTCCAAACCTAACAGTCCTGAACATCCTGTCTTCAAGTATTACTTCCTGTATTTTTAATGCAGTAATTTCATCAAAAATATAATTTTATTAGGTAGTTGTACAAAGAATGACAAATAACACAGCTTTATTTATTTTGATACAAACTTCCCCTTTTAGATTTTAACCTGTAATTCCTCTGTGTCTTGTTCTGTTTTTTACTCAGTTTGCATTCACAGCATGGAAAGAATTGATGAAGGAGGTAAGGGGACTGTAGAATGCTAAAATCAGATTTGTATTGATCAAAACACTGTGCTTTAGATATTTAATTTATTTTAAATAACTTTTGTTAATGAGCTAACCAAATGCATAACTTGGATTTATAGCTTCCCTAATCAGATTAATATTTTCTTTCTTCTTCTCTCTTATTTTGATATATAGATGTTACTAGGAATAAAGTCAAAGAAATAAAGTAACAACATAACGTAAGAAAAGGGCAGTGGCAGAATTAAAAAAAAAAAAAAATCAAGAAGGGTATTAGCTACAGCTGGGCCTGCGTCCTAAGCCCCAAGGTGAGAAGCAGACAGGAAGTGACAGTCCAGCAAATTTCCCGGTACGTAAAGCACCCTCCCTGTCCACTGCCGGGAATAGCTGGGGTTCCCTCTTCGCTACCTCTTAGCTCTGAAAACCTCCTCAATTTTCGCTGGGTGGCTTCTCGCAGAGTTACGCCAAGGGGTGCAAGCGCAGCAGCCATTACAACACCTTCCCCGAAACCAGCAGAATCCTTCCAAGTCTCTGCCGCTCTGCACAGCACGCATGCGCACCTGAATGTAACCCGTTCATGGGTCCGGTTTAGCCTCTGTCCCCGCCCTTTACGTGCGTCTCTCACGTAACCACGCCCCCGAAAGCTCCGGCCCGCCCCGAGAAAACCTTGAGGGACCGAGTCCAGAGTCTGGCCTCGTTTCCCTAGCAACCGTCTCCGGAACAGATGAACACCTAGCGATTTGACGGACTGTGCCGGGTCTGGGCCGTTTGTTCCCAACTCATAAAGCCTTGCAGCCCAGTTGGCCCGGTGAGTGGTTCGGGTTGGGCGGTAAAATTGCTAGAACCGACCCGTTAAGAAGACAAAACCACAATTTATCTTCCAGCTCTCTCGAAAAGTGGTTCGTCCTAACTCGCGGTTTCAGCCAGGAACAGTTCCCAAAGACCTCTTGACAGTTAATTCCTCCCACCGTGTCGTCATCTGAAGACATTTGCTCCAAGCCCAAGTCCAGATATATAATCTGAATATTCAAAATCTGTATTCTGTTCAGGAACCTTAGGTTTGTGGTTTCTTTGCCCTTGCAGTTCTTAGTAAGTGAGCCTCTCCACTCCTAAGTTTTGAGTTCACTTCATAGGCTTTTGTAAATTGTATATAATTCAATCTGGGACCAGTCCCTTAACATTTGTGGTATTAGGTTTATTTACTGGCATTCTTTTGTATATGCAGACTGATCAAGAACTTTAAATGACATTACTGGGAATAAGTCAGACCTATTAGATGTATTTTTAGTAGCTAACTATAAGTCTTTATCTTGTAAAGCACAAGTTTATAATGAGTTTTACAGGTTAATCTCTTCATCTTTACATAGAAGAAAATTATGAATCAGAATAATGACTTACTGAAGGCCTCACAATCAGTAGTAGAGAAGACTTTAACATAATTTTTCAATCCCAAACCCAGAAATCATCTACCACACCATGCATTTTGATTTATTTTAGAAACCTGTCTTCACTAAACTTTCCATCAATGCCATAGGCAGGCATTCAGGGCTCTACAAGGTCTTGCCATGAATTTAATTTAGGTTTTTTTGTTTGTTCGTTTGTTTGTTTTTCCTAAAGACTTGGCTTTGTATTTAATTTTGTACTTAAAGAGAAATCATTTGGGTAAAAAGGGAGATTACCCTTTCATAGTTCCATTGTTTAAATGGTTTATTTTTGTTGTTGTTGTTGTTAATAAAATCAAAAAATGGGCAGAAGATATGAATAGACACTTCTCCAATGAAGACATACAAATGGCTATCAGACACATGAAAAAATGTTCATCACCACTAGCCCTCAGGGAGATTCAAATTAAAACCACATTGAGATACCACCTTACACCAGTTAGAATGGCCAAAATTAGCAAGACAGGAAACAACGTGTGTTGGAGGGGATGTGGAGAAAGGGGAACCCTCTTACACTGTTGGTGGGAATGCAAGTTGGTGCAGCCTCTTTGGAGAACAGTGTGGAGATTCCTCAAGAAATTAAAAATAGAGCTTCCCTATGACCCTGCCATTGCACTACTGGTTATTTGCCCCAAAGATACAGATGTAGTGAAAAGAAGGGCCATCTGTACCCCAATGTTTATAGCAGCAATGGCCATGGTCGCCAAACTGTGGAAAGAACCAAGATGCCCTTCAACGGACGAATGGATAAGGAAGATGTGGTCCATATACACTATGGAGTATTATCCCTCCATCAGAAAGGATGAATACCCAACTTTTGTATCAACATGGATGGGACTGGAAGAGATTATGCTGAGTGAAATAAGTCAAGCAGAGAGAGTCAACTATCATATGGTTTCCCTTATTTGTGGAGCATAACAAATAGCATGGAGGACAAGGGGAGTTAGAGAGAAGGGAGTTGAGGGAAATTGGAAGGGGAGGTGAACCATGAGAGACTATGGACTCTGAAAAACAATCTGAGGGTTTTGAAGGGGCGGGGGGTGGGAGGTTGGGGGAACCAGGTGATGGGTATTGTAGAGGGCATGGATTGCATGGAGCACTGGGTGTGGTGCAAAAAGAATGAATACTGTTATGCTGAAAATAAAAACAAAAAAACATTGAGAACATTTAGAAAATACAGAAGGCTTTGAGTGATGTGAGAACAAAAGGGAGTGGGCGATACAGATCAGAGAGGTGACAAAAGCCTAAAGAAAGGATATTGTTTTTTTTTGTCCTGGGTGAAACAAAGCCATTGCAGAGTTTTGATGTGACTTGCCTTGTGTCTAAAAAGATCGCTCAGAAATGTGAAAGTAGACTATAGTGGAGGGTGGGGGCAAGGATAGAGTTGGTGGAAACTTGGCTATGATAGTATCAGTGGGGCTGCTGAGAAATTGACTAGATTCTGGACATATTTTTGAAGGCACAGTCAATACAATTTGCTAATGGCATGGGTATGGAATGCTAGAGAATGAAAGAAATCAAATTGACCACCTGAAGGATAGAATGGCCATCAACTGAGATGGGAAAGACTATGGATGGAGAATGTTGGTGGGATAGTAGGGAGAGTCCAGAATTTGGTTATAGACATGTGGAATATACAGATGTATGTCTATGCAGTACATATGTAATGGAAATTTTTATGTGTTTGTGTGTCTGTAGGCATTATACATATGAGTTTGGAGTTCATGAGAGAGGTCTGGGCTAGAGCGATAACTTTAGGAATCTTCAGCATGCATATGGAGTTACTTTTATTTTACCTTATTTTGCTTTTTTGAAAGTTTTTAATTCCAGTTGGTTATTATAATCTGTAATATTGGATTCTGGTGTACAATAAGTAGTGATTCAACACTTCCTAGACTACCTGGTGCACATAACAAGTGCACGTCTTAATCCCTATCACCTGTGTAACCCATCCCCCAGCTCACCTCCTCTCTGGTAACCATCAGTGTTACTTGGTTTGCCTCTTTGTCCCCACCACCCAATTTACCCATTTGTTTTCTTTCTTAAATTCTACGTATGAGTGAAGTCATATGATACTTGTCTTTCTCTGACTGACTTATTTCAGTTACTATTATGGCTGAGTAATATTCCATTGTGTGTACCAAATCTTTTTTTGTCCCCTCAGATCTAGGATTAGGATTCAGTTTAGGACCAGAATAATGGTTAGGGTTAGGGTCAGGCAAGGGTATGTGCCTACTATCCTGCAGTTCTGAGACCTCTCCAGAGGGATAGCCTTAGGTTTAGAGTTATGGCTAGGGGTTAGTTGGAGTTAATTTTAAACTACAGAACTAGATGAGGGCCCAGGGGAAGAAAGGTTAATAAAGCTTATAAGC